GATGCAGGCTAGAAGGCAGTGGCCGAAGTTCTATGTCGGCAATCTAGGGAACAGGCACAGGGCACATGCGTTGAACCACGGGCACGGCGGTGCTTGCGGCGCGCGCGAGTACGGACAGCCTACTCGCGTGAGGCACCGGTGAAGCGACCGCACTCCTCGGTGGACTACGCACGCCCGGCGCGAAGCGCAAGTTACGAAGCAACAGCTGAGGAGCGCGCGTAAAGACAACCTTCCCCTTCGACTGCCGAAACGGCTCTCCAAGAATAGTTTAGGTGAGAGAACGGCGCATAGGGGAGGCTTCGTGGAGAGAGGCGCATGCTGTTCTGGTTAGGAAACCTCTCCCGAGAGGGTGCGCTAAACTAGCCACACACCCTCTACAAGGGCTGAGCAGAGGGTTCCAAGTAGTGCATCAACAGGCCCAGATGGCATTCCAATTATGCTGATAAAGACACTGGGTCCGAAGTCTAAACAGACTTTGAGAGAGGCAGTGAGCAGAGCAATAATCGATGGTGGAGTCCCTGATGGATGGAAGAAAACTTAGCAGGATGAGCATGATCTATAAAGGAAAGGGGACAAAGATGACATAAACAACTACCGTCCTATAACAGTGACATAGTGCTCTACAGGCTGGCGATGCAGATTATAAAGGAAAGACTGCAGGCATGAATAGAGGATGAGGGGGTGCTGGGGGAACTGCAGAATGGGTTTCGGAAACACAGGAGGTTGGAAGACACTCTGTTCTCACTGACGCAGTGCATCAAAATTGCAGAAAAGGAACTCAGGCCCCTGTGGCTAGCATTTTTGGATATAAAGGGAGCGTACGATAGCATGGTTCAAGAGGACTTGTGGGGAATACTAGACGCACTGGGTGTGAAGATGGAGTCACTAATCTTTAAAAGGTAATCCATAAAAGTAACAAGGTAGTTAAAAAGTAGGAAAACAGGTATCCAAGCCCACAGAGGTGAAACGGGGACTTAGGCAGGGGTGTCCACTGTCACCCTTGTTATTCATGATGTACCTACAAGGATTGGAGGCCAAATTAGAGGGAAGTGGACTTGGCTTCAACCTATTTTTAGTCAAACAAGGAAAACTCATTGATCAGGCACTACCAGCATTAATGTACGCAGATGATATCGTGCTAATGGTGGACAACAAGGAAGATTTGCAGAGATTGATGGACATCTGCGGTAATGAGGGAGATAGGTTAGATTTTAGATTCAGTAAGGAAAAATCAGCAGTCATGATTTTTAATGATAACGAAGGTTAGAATACAGGAGGTCACGCCAGATATAACAGATAAATACAAATATCTGGGCGTATGGATAAGCAAGGGGACCGAGTACCTAAAGGAACACGAAATATACGTGACGACTAAAGCTAACAGGAATGCAGCAGTGATGAAAAATAGGGCACTGTGGAATTACATTAGGTATGATGTTGTGAGAGGAATATGGAAAGGGGTCATGGTTCCTGGGCTGACGTTCGGCAAAGCGGTCTTGTGCCTGAGATGAGAAGTTCAAGCAAGATTAGAAATTAAGCAACGTGGAATAGGTAGGCTTGCTTTAGGAGCTCACGGGAATACACCAAATCAGGGAGTACAAGGTGATATGGGATGGACATCATTTGAGGGCAAGGAAGCTAGCAGCAAGATAACATATGAGAAGTGATTGAGAGAAATGGGGGAGGAGCGTTGGGCTAGGTAGGTTTTCAGCTACTTGTGCATGAAGAATGTCGATACGAATTGGAGGAAGTGAACCAGGAAATAGACTGGTAAATACTTAAAAAACAGCACGACTATCGGTTAAAAAAAAGTGAAGGAAACGGAGACTGACATGTGGAGAATGGCATGATTAAGAAGTCCGCACTAGAGATCTATCGAACTTTTAAGCAGGAAATTGCCAAGGAAAGGATCTATGATAATACTCGGGGTAGTTCTCTATTGTTTGAAGCCAGGACGGGAGTACTGCGAACCAAGACATATCGGGCCAAATACGAAGGGGTAGACACAGTATGCAGTGCGTGTGGAGAGGAAGAAGAAACTGCCAAACACTTGATTATGTTCTGTAAAAGACTTCACCGTATAGTTCAGGATGATGGCGCAGAGTTTTTCAAAGCACTGGGGTTTAGAGAGAGGGGGGGGGCAAAATAGACGTTAAGCGGGATGAATTAACTAGAAGTAGGTTATCTGATTTGTGGCTAAAGTCAAGGCACGAGTGAAAATTAAACCCTTCACTGCAAAGTACGAATCCTCAAACTCACTTTTTAAAGAAAAAAAATCTAGTTTTTGGTTCATTAGATGTTACAGCTTGGTGGCGCTAGCCACCGCCCGATCTAAAGGGTACAGCCATATCCATCCATCCATCCATCCATCCATCCATCCATCCATCCATCCATCCATCCATCCATCCATCCATCCATCCATCCATCCATCCATCCATCCATCATCCATCCATCCACCCGTCCGCCATCCATCCGTCCGTCCGTCCGTCCGTCCGTCCGTCCATCCATCCATCCATCCATCCATCCATCCATCCATCCATCCATCCATCCATCCATCCATCCATCCAACCATGCATCCACCCAGCCACCCACCCACCCACCCACCCACCCACCCACCTATCCATCCATCCATCCATCCATCCATCCATCCATCCATCCATCCATCCATCCATCCATCCATCCATCCATCCATCCATCCATCCATCCATCCATCCATCCATTTGCGTTCAATCCTTACGCTCCGTAAGCGCTGCGAATCTTTCAGGAGGCCTAGCCGCGCGAGGCCAACTATTATTTTCCTGTACTTTCGGAGTGTTATTTACATAATCTTTATAAGAACTACTCGATTTCTTTCACAGTACTGGCGCTTTGCAATACCAAATGAGGATTATTTCGTGACATACATGTCGCCATTCGCTACTGCCCGCAAAAAAAAAGCAGATCCCACGTAACTTGGGAATCAATGCTAGGCAAGGTGAGTCTGTTGTAATTTTTACGAAGTGAAACATTATGCAGTGGTGCTAAATATATGCGCGAAATTGGACAGTCAACACTGGAACCAGCATTGGTGTTTCACGAACGTTTGGCTCTTCTTGCAAATTCTTTCGAAGACCTGGCGTGGCTCTGTAGTAGAATCCTTGGTTTCCACGCAGATTGCTTGGGTTCGATTTCTCTGCTAGGACACAAACGTTTATTGTTTGCATTCGTAGGGTCAACGTTGCCAATGCCAGCCTAATGCTCACGCGTTAAAACAAGATGTGGCGAGAAGGGTTTGATGGCGTAGGTGATGGGATTATGGAATTATTCATCTTAGGACCAGCGAGTCATATTCATTAAACCATCTTACCCACCCAGACAAATTTTGGATTACCCTAAGTTAAGAGGATGATCGTGAGGGCACCCAGACGTAGACGATTGACAGACAAACAGACAGACAGACAGACAGACAGACATACACACAGACAGACAGACAGACAGGCGGACGGACAGACAGACAGACAGACTGACAGATAGATAGATAGATAGATAGATAGATAGATAGATAGATAGATAGATGCACAAAGTGGTTGCAGTACGCAAAGAAATTATTTTAAAAACCATTGACAGTACAACCACCCGAGTTATTTTTGAAAATGTGCTTTGTTCTTGAGAGCAAAAATTATCACAGAAGACCCAAAAACTTTTACTTCTTAGTCTACATTCCATTAAAATTCTAGTGAAAACAAAGTATGATAACATGCCAATGATTGATATGTGGGGTTTAACGTCCCTCAACCACCATATGATTATGAGAGACGCCGTAGTGGAGGACTCCGGAAATTTCGTCCACCTGTGGTTCTTTAACATGCACCCAAATCTGAGCACACGGGTCTACAACATTTCCGCCTTCATTGGAAATGCAGCCGCCGCAGCCGGGAATTCAACCCGCGACTTGCGGGTCAGCAGCCGAGTACCTTAACCACTAGACCACCGCGGTGGGGCATAACATGCCAATGAAATATCTGACTCTCGCCGCATATGATACCCAAAACGTTGTTGGGAAGAGAGTCCGACGTTGAAATGGGAGAAAAACTGTGTGAATAAAAACTGTGTGAATAAAATTCGAAAGGTTGTTTTCAATTTTTTTCAGATAAGTATTGATATTGGAAATTGTGCCTAAACGGTGATTTCATTCCCGACACCGTTCACCCTAATCCGAAAAGATAGTCGATGGAGTCACTCTCAGAATGCTTTTTTCACACGACAGCCTTCGGAGTCAGCCTTCTGTCTTCCCTCTTGATCTTACTTTTTCATTCAGAAAACCGCGCTGGATCCGTTAGTACGGGGAACAAGACACATTTTCCTTGTTCGACCGATAACATCTTTGACACAGCGGCACAATACACGTCCTTTCTTTGCGTTGCCGCTTAGCTTTTCACAATTCAGGGTGTTGCAGTGTACATAAGACGCCATCAAACTTCACAGTAAATCACATGGTAGCTGTAATACACTGATTTTAAATGCGGCGAGGCTCCGGCAGCAACACACGAGATGAATTTCGCGCGTTCGTGCACCCTTTCGACACACAGCGGCGCTTGTGGCATCTGAGTGCAGTCATCACATGTGGGGACACCCTTTCTCGTGCAGAATGCGCACGCTCAGCACACTAGGCAGTATATTGTTAGACACTGTAGTATAAGAGGAGTACATACAAAATGTATATAAAATTGAGTAGCCAGCACTGCAACCACTATTGACGTTTCACGAAGATTAGCGCCTATTTTAAAAGTAGTTCCTCTGTGGCGAAAACGCTTCATTGCCACGCAGAATGCTTGGGTTTGATACTAGCTGGGACCCTGACATTTATTCTATGCATTCTTCGGGTGAACGCTACCGATGTCGGGAATTTCTTAACACTCACGCGTTAAAAGTGTCCATGTGTGTTCTCGTCGTTCCTGGGTAGATACTAAATGTCAATCACCTGTGGCACATACACGCCCGTGTCTGGTGCGAATTGTTCGCGTAAACCTGGACTTCGAGACACAAACTTCCAGGTTTTTCATTTTCTTTAATATTCGTATGAAAGCTTTCTCTTTATATACACGAAGCGCATTCTAACAAATTGCATCTTGCACGAATGTTCGTAATGTTCGAAAATTTGTTATAAAAGTTTATTTCCAACACTATGTATCTATTGCAAGACAATTTTCCTTTATTTTGTTGTAACGGGTATTTATTTTTATCTGTGTTCATTATATTTTAGTTTCGAGTTTGTATAAAGCATCGGTTATATTACCAGGTGTGTTGATGTGTGTGCAGATGTACAACTGTATAACTGTAAGACTAGAGCTGTATAACTTCTTGCAATTATACTGTAACTTCGATTTCCAGATTTTCAGACTCTCGATATAGAGTCTAGGGTTTCGTTGCTGTTTCTTCTTCGATCTCTCTGCATGCCAACCTATGCATGTCTGCGCAGGTGCTGAAGCTGAAGCTGGAAACCTTATTGGTGGTACTGGGTGGTGGGCCTGTGTCCCTGTGCGTGGCCGATTGCATGTTGGCAGACTTGGTGGACAAGGTCGGGGACATCAAGAATGGCCAGGGCGCCACATCTGCCCTGACGGCCTTAGCTGAGGCCACCTCCCTAGACCATGTTGGCCAGGAGGTAGGAGCATGTCTTACTCGCATTCATTTGATTCTTGCGCTTTAGAAATTCACAATTCATGTGGACGTCGTATTTACATCCATTTGTGGCATTTGGCACCTTCTGGGCCAAATTGCTATTCAACAAAATTGCTATTCACCGAATTCACCTTTAGTCAAAATTTATGCACAAGCCTACTTTATTCACTAAATAAGGTGCTCCGACTTTTTTTTTTTCTAGCATTAACTTTCTCGGTCAGTGTTTGCAGTTCAAACTTGGCAATGTGATGTTCACTTTTTCCACATTTTAAAATTTAAAGAAAAGATTGTGAACTTCACTGGCTCTTCCCTGGTTCTTAGTGCGACAGGTTAACCAAAAACAATAGCTGCGCATTCTGGTATTCATCGACGCATGCTCAAGGCAAGCATTGCAATGCACTTGTGAAATTAATCTACACATGCTCATTGTAATGAAACATGTAAGCTAGGCAATGTACCTTGGTGTGATATATATTGATTTCATTTAATTTTTGCCTTTCATAAAAACCGTGATTGCCAACAGTGTTTTTTAAGAGTAAAATGCCACAAAATTCTTCAAATAATAGGGCAGTATGAAGAGATATAGTGTTGGTCATGAAAAAAAAAAGCTTTGTAGTTTTAACATGAGAGCCCTTGACAAAAGTTTACTCCTTCATCCTACCCCCACAATGTCTTCCTTACAGCTGGCCTATACCTTGTGAAGAGCCGAAACTGGGTCAACCTACACAGCTATACTCAGCCTAAGCACCTGAGTTGTCAGGTGCTATTACTCGTAGTTTGCTTTACTGTCATGACTAGCATAGTCTCTTGTGCATTTGCTAAGCATAGTAACTGTGTTAACACAGGAAGTAGATTACAAACTCTGCTTTGCTGCAGCATCTTAGGCAAACTGGGTTTTAGCTTGAAGCCCTTTTAGAGCATGTGTTTATTTTAAACTTTTAGTTAAAATATGCTAGATACTGAAGCTTTCAGGTTGCTTTGTGAGTTTCTCTTGTATGTTAGTACCACTTTATTTTTTTCCTTCTCCAGGTTCTCCAGCTTTGTTTTGCCCAGAAGAATCCGAAAACCAAAGTGAGAGCCTGATGTGGCTGGCCAATGCTATCAAAGAGTTCGGGCTCAAGTAAGTTTTTTCAAAAACTGGGCAACTATGCATTTCAGACACACCAGGTTTTAAGTGTGGAGCACTATAGATGCTCGAGATGTCGTATACTGCCACTGCATTGTGTAACGCAGGCAAAACCACGTATAGCATAGCCATCTGTAACACCAAGAAGTCTTCCTCTTCTTGTTCTTTGGGTGCCGCGATGATGATAATAAGTGTGGAGGAAATCAGGAACCCGGGACGTCGTATGCTGTCACAAGCTGTCACCACTTAGCATAATGCACGCAAACCCGCATTTAAAAAAATAAAAGAAAAAGGGGGAAAGCAAGGGATTCATGGAAGAAAGAGGGAGAAGGAATAGAAAAAAAAGAAAAAGTAAATGCAGAAAACTTCAAAGAAGACAGGAAAAAAGAGGGAAGAAATAAAACCAAAGAAAAGCAAAAAATGCCGCCCAGCTCTGCAAATCCTTCGGGCTTTGCACAACTAGTGTGAAATCGCCTTAATTTTTTGCCAGAGCAGTCAACGATCCAGTGTTGTTTGAAGCATTGCAATGTACTTCACTTGTCTGATGTTCACATACTTGTTCTTTTGCAGGGTTCCAGTGAAACCAGTCATAGAAAGCATAAAAAAAGGTCTGGCTGCTTCGAACCCTGTGAGTATGAGCCAGAGCTTTTTTTTTGTGCTGTACAGTGCGACTGTTCACCACTGTTGTTGCGTAAATGTTGCATTTTGCGTGTGAGGACTTGTCTGAGGAAAGTGCAAAGAGGGTGCAAATGACGGATGGTGAGACAGCAAAGCCAGGTGTTTCCGCAGTGCAGGGCTTGCGATTACCACCATGGCTGTGGAAGCTTCCTATTGCTTTTGTGTGAAGGTTTCTCTGCGCATTCACTAGCGACTGTTGGGTATTGTGAACAGAAGTGGCTCCATCCTTGTAAACTGTTTGTTAATGGAGACCTTTTAATTTTACATTTTCTTCTCAGTGTTAATGTAGACGTCCTAGCTGCATTTTGCGATGTCAGACGATCACTTCAGTAATATTCAATGAGTGAATTTGACTCTTGTATGAACAGGCAGTGAGAACAGCGTCCATCACTCTGGCTGGTGTTCTGTACCTCTACATGGGCAAGACGCTGAGGACCTTGTTTGAAGGGGAGAAGGCCGTCCTTGTGCAGCAGCTTGATGCGGAACTTGCAAAGGTTGGTGGCGTCATTATACACCTCATGCATGTTGATGGCGTTTAGCCAGTGTTGTTTTAAGCTCTTATGAAAAGAAAGTGCCATTGCGGAAATTCGCCGATTACCTTTCAAGTATGGATGTGCGAATATTTGAAAGTTTTGAATATTCATCAAATATTGCATTTGTGATGTTAGTATTCAATTCGATAATGCATATTCGATAATTTAAAATATTTGAACAATTCAGAATATTCTTCAAATATTCTATCTTCACGAATATTCTGTCACATGTCTCTGCTGTGAAGAACTTCAGATTTGGCACATTTCCAATAACAGCAGTGTTTACTTCATGCAGTGATTACTAAGTTAATGCAGTTCATGCAGTGATTACTAAGACTTCGGCACGAGTATTATATCGCCTGCACAGCAATTCATGGAAGCTTGGTGACGGCTATCGATGAATGCGGTGACAGGTCATCGTGACAAACCTACCAATGATAAATATCTCAGTTTAAATTGTGTACTGCTTGCTCGGCAGTATGTGGGGCTTGGTTGTTTAGCGCTGTTACTGTTCGTGTAAGCGTACCAACCACTCCATCTGTTGCTGCATTGCTCATCGAAACGAAAGCAACTCGTCAATGCTGCATTGGGTCGACAAAATAGCTGTTGTAACATATTTCGGTTCCCGTGGTGAGAGCGAGTACGAAGAAAAACGTCTTTGCACAAGGGCAAGTGCACGCGTATATTACAGAGAGCGGCACGGACTAATTGAGCTTGGTAGGCGACGCACTGCACGCAAGTATAGCACTCGGCTTGACGTGATGATAACGCGTTTCATGTGTAGCTGCGCCAATTTTCACTAATGAATGGCCTTGCAAACATGCGCAACAAAGCCTTCTACAAGTCGTCAATCGGCTGTGCCGCTTACTTCATTTGTATTCTCTTCATAGTTCCAAATTATTTCACGGTTCGCCAACATTATGGTCATGTGAATAAGTTGGTGTTTCTCCGTGCAATGGCAAACAAAAGGCACGCACTTTTTGTGCAGCAGCTTACAATGGCGTCATAACATATAGTTCTGTAATGTAAGCGGCAGACGGAAATTTGAGGCACTTAATTCGTAGTTTCACTGTGCTCCCGACAGCATCCTCGGGAATGCGTCGTATACACATCGCACTCGCATGGCAGCGTCTCCTGCAATCGTTCCTCTATAACTTCGTTTGTGTGATCTCGCTCTTTTGCCAATGTCAGTTAACTGCCATTAGCAGCCAGTGCGCCGAAATGGGTCGTGATGCAGCGTAATAGTGCCCTCGTCGCTGGGAGTTGTGGCTCCGTTAAGAAATAAGTGTAATTGGGGTGTCTTTCTACCGCCCATCAATAATCGCCTATCTCACACGTGCGTCTTGCGCTATCACAGCGCCTAGTACACCTGGCAACGATCGTGTAGCTATCAGCGTGACAGAGAACTCTTGATCGGAAAATGGGGTAGCTGTGCAGTCCTCGAGAAAGGGAACAGAAAGAAGTCAATAAAGAGTATTGCGTGTAATGAAAGACTCCCAAGTTCTCCTATTGCCTAGTGGCTTGACCGGAGAGACCAGGGGCAAAAATAAAAGAAAATGATAAAATCTGGAGTTTTACGAGGTCAAAACTGATAGTGTGAGAATCTGGCTGAATTGTGACCACCTAGGCTGCTTTATAAATCGCTTAGTCTTAGGTACGCGTGTGAACTGTTACATTTCATCTCATCTGGATATGTCTGCCATGGAGGAATTAAACCAGGGGCCTCATGCTCACTACCACTAGTCATCATGGCAGGTAGAAAAGCTTTATTATTTTGTAAGAGCAACCACAAAAAATAATTAAAAAGCAGTACGAAAATTTTGTTCAACATGAGAGTTGAACACAAGACATCAGAGTCGCAAGCTCAATTATTAGTCATATGCTTCCTGGCAAGTACTGGTGGTGGGCATTTTCGTTTTTTGTGCAATAACAGACTACCGTATTTACTCGCGTTATGATCGCACCCCTAATTTTTGTCACCTAAATTAGACTTTTTTTCCCCGCGTAATGATCGCACCCTGAACTTGCCGTATCGACATGTCATGTGCCAAGTCTAGCTGAACACGTCTATCATTATTTCTGTGATCTGAAAGTGGGCATCACTATGCTACTGTCGTAAATTTACTGATAAATGAAAGCATTCCTTATTAGATGGAAGAAAGCTGTTTTGATGCACGTGACGCACTCAAAACCCTCCATAACTGACGCAAAGAAGAAAAGAATGGGTGGCTTCGCTCCACGGAGTGCTTCGCTCGTCAGCCATGTTTGCTTTTGACCATCACGCATTGTTACAGCGGCGGCCACCCTGTTGGTCGACTGTGTTCATTCCGCAAGCAATGTTTTTTTTTTTTTCCTGAGACCACATTTTTTTTGTGTGTGCCTTGTGATCGTCTGTTGAAGCGACCAGTTCACCATGGGGGCGGTATTGCGAGCTTTCACTGCCGCGTTCAAGCTGAAGGCGCTTGACTACCCGCTAGAGCACGGCAACCGCGCTGCCGGCAGAGATTATTCGGCGTCGACAAAATCTGGATCCGATATTTGAAAAAACAGCGCGGACATGCTCCCTGGCTACTAACAGCAAGCGATGGGCTCGCCATGGACCCAAAATTTTCCTGGCAAATTGTTCTGACATTGAAAAGGGAGTCCTCAGGATACGTGAAGGACCTGAGGCAAGGACGGTTTTATGCAGTGTCATTCGACATAATACGGACGCCAGGATGCGTGCACAGTTTCTGGAGGCTTTGGGAATAGCCACAAAGGACTTCCGCGCAAGTTCAGGCTGGACGACACGCTTCATGCGGCGGAATGAACTATCGCTGGCATTTCCACCGCGCTCGAGCGGAACGGAAGATGACACTCTGAGGCGACATTGAAGACACTGCCGGGTTTCGACAGGCAATCGTGTGGCGACGGCTCTGAGCCAGTGATGCTTTGGAGTCTGAATGTACGTTAGGGGGTCAGAGAGGTAAAAAATAAAAGGGCAGTGTGCCATGCATGTATCTCCTGCGTAATGTGTGCATTTATTACAAAGGTAAGCCTTAATTTACTTTTATTTTTAATTAAGTTCATGATAGCTACCGTAAGAATTCTGATAAGCGACTTTTTTTGCGTTTCCTGTGCTCAGAATATTTTTCACGGAAAATTTACCCCGCGTAATGATCGCATCCTGAAGTTGGAGTAAATTTTTTGAAAAAACAAAGTGCGATCATTATGTGAATATATACGGTAGAGTAGCTACCATTGGTACTGTTTCCAGCAGAAATATATGATTGAGTGAAAGAATACTGGTGAAAAAAATTGCATCTTTTTATTATTCGATTCTTATTTGGAACTATGTATTCATATTCAGAAATTTTGATATTCGCGCACTTCTAGTTTCAAACTACCACTGAAATTTTGTGCGCTGAATAGTACTGGCTGTTCGATTTCACTAGCTCTCACCGTATATCTAAAGACATTGCAATCGCATCGTGAACCACCATTCGAGTGCTACAAGCACCACCCACACCCCATTTTCTTCAAGTGAAGCCACCTCAAGCACTTGCGTTGATTTCGTACGAAACCGCAACTTTGATTGCTCGCGGCCACCTATGGTTCTGCATGTTGCGGGCACTTTGTACAAGACATTAAGATTGGGCGCCGAAAAGATCACACTCGAGCATGGATCCAGGAGTAGCTCGCGTGATACAATGTTTAGGTTTGCGGCCTGTCTACGGCGACAAAAGTCC